AAGCAAGTTTGTAAACAGTTTGCTTTCTGTCTTGCTTATCGAAACTAGAGAAGAAAAAAGTTATCAGCAAAACGTTTTGTCTGGGCTGTATTTAGACACTCCTGAATGATGGTGTCTTTTTGTACAAGCTCCATCCTTGTACCATGTGATTACTGGTACTGGAGGCACTGTGAAGTCTGTTTTATAAGCAGGGCTACTTTGTTTAACTGTAAAGACCACAAAAGCAAAGAAGAAAAGGTTTTGTGTTTCTTGAACTGTAGCGAGCCTTGTGACTCCTCTCAGCATTTCTGCACCCTCTTCCCCCTACAGTTTTCTTGCTGGATTTAGCCTCAGATGTCTAGAGATGGCCAGAAGGAAACAAATTAAAAGACACGTTAATCTTTGGAGTTACATGTTACACCCATTTTTAGGGAAGGGGGAGCTGTATGCAGAAGTTTTCTTTACCTTTATGCAGGGAATGCATAAATGTCAATCACAGTCAGTGAGACAATAAGAAGAGAGAGGGGGTGGGGCCAAGCCACGGCTGCATGTGCGAATGGACACACAGAGCAGCGACTGGGGAGTGCACATGCTAGGGTGCCCCCATAGCAAGCTGCTTGCTGTGAGGACACCCGACAGGAGGGAGGGGCAAGGAGAGCCGGCGGGAGACCCAAGAATAGGAGGATCTGGGCTGCTCTCTGCAAAACCACTGCACACAGCAGGTAAGTATAGACATGTATGTTATTTTTATTTATTTAAATGTAAGCCTTTAGAATCATTTTAAACTCTGTGTTTTTTTAGCTGAACATGTTGAGCACAATAAATTAAGCATTCTTCATTAAACTATTAGTTAAAATTCACTTGTAGTTTGCAATGCTGCTGGTACCTGCTCTCTGTGTTGCTTCCCTGAATTTCCGGTTTTCACACAAAGAGTTAGCAGTGGACAGTGCATTTTCCAGTCAGTCTGTTAGCTTGGAGGAGGGAGGAGCAGGGGAGTGCCTTGCCATCCTAGGCTATGGGGCTGTGTATTTCTATTGATGCACACAGTGTGTGTGGAGCAGGGGCGGACTGACCATTTGGAAACTCGGGCACTGCCCGAGGGCCCCGGGTCAGTAGGGGGCCCCATGAGATGCCCCTGGTACCTTTTTCATAGGCTTTTTTGAGTTTGGGCAAGGACACAGGGGCCCCATGATCCCCTATTGCCCGGGGGCCCCATGAGTTGTCAGTCCGCCCCTAGTGTGGAGACGGAACTTTAGTCTCTGCATACTAGGGTGGCTCCATAGGATGTTGCAAGAGAAAGGAGCCACCCTGAAACAAGAAACCTGGGGCAGTGGTCATGGCACCAGTTTACACTGGCAAGGATTAAAAGTAAAAGAAGCTGCAAACTCAGTAAGGGATTAAATAAACTGCTAAAATTGTTTTTTTTTAAAAAAACTGAGGGTTTAATATCACTTTAAGGAAAAGAACTAGTTTATTCTGTTTATACTGACCACAAAATATTTTCTTCTCTAACCTTATCACATCACATATTTCTAGGGCAGTGGAATCAAACTTTAAGCAAAACTTCCTCCGTATAGAAAGAGGCAGCAATAATATTTTTTGTTCACATAAAACCCCCGTCCTCTTCCCCCCCTCACTACCTGATGTGTTATGAAAAACATAGCACAAATATGTAACTTAATTTAAAGTAGCCCGTTTCAGCAGTTTTTTTTTTTTTTTTCTTCCCTTTCCAGATTAAAATTTAACACGGCCCACTAGCGCTCTGTATCTGCTAGAGACGATCAGATCTGCAATGCAAAGTAGAAACCACAGGTTTGTCTGCTAAACATGCAGAAAATTGAAGGCGTACAATAGATAAACATAAATCAGTTTATAGGACATTTTCATAATAACATCTCTAGGAAGGCAGAAGTGAAAACGCGCATTGTTTGGGAATTTAACACACTCTGCCTGTGTGTCAACTGATTCCGCACCTGAAATTGGATGTTTCACACAATGAAGTCGAGTGCGACTGATGCTTAACTGGTCCCTTTGTAAAAGAGGACCAGTTATGTAGTAGTATGTAGTAGTAGGCCTATTTAGGAAATCCTATTTGTCCTGTTGTTGTTAAAGGTTACCCCCCCATCCCCACCTTGTTGCCAAAAAGGAGAGGATGAGCCTATCAAAAACAAATATTTCTGTTTTTGGTAAACTCTTCAGAACTGTTGGTGAGATCTCTGGGCTTAAAGCTGGCAATTATTCTGTGTGGGCGGCACAGTGGCTTAGTGGTTAGCACGTCTACCTTGCAGTAAATGGGTCATGGGTTCGATTCCCGACCATGGTGCCTCCTGCATGGAGTTTGCATGTTCTCCCTGTGCTTGCGTGGGGTTCCTCCGGATGCTCCGGTTTCCTCCCACACTCCAAAGACATGCTGGTAGGTTAATTGGATCCTGTCTAAATTGGCCCTAGTATGCGTATGTATGAATGTGAGTTAGGGACCTTAGATTGTACGCCTCTTGAGGGTTAGGGACTGATGTGAATGTTCAATATATACAGTGGGGATCGAAAGTTTGGGCACCCCAGCTAAAAATTTGTATTAATGTGCATAAAGAAGCCAAGGAAAGATGGAAAAATTTCCAAAAGGCATCAAATTACAGATTAGACATTCTTATAAAATGTCAACAAAAGTTAGATTTTATTTCCATCATTTACACTTTCAAAGTAACAGAAAACAAAAAAATGGCGTCTGCAAAAGTTTGGGCACCCTGCAGAATTTATAGCATGCACTGCCCCCTTTGCCAAGCTGAGACCTGCCAGTGTCATGGATTGTTCTCAATCATCGTCTGGGAAGACCAGGTGATGTCAATCTCAAAGGTTTTAAATGCCCAGACTCATCTGACCTTGCCCCAACAATCAGCACCATGGGTTCTTCTAAGCAGTTGTCCAAAAAACTGAAACAGAAAATAGTTGACGCTCACAAAGCTGGAGAAGGCTATAAGAAGGTAGCAAAGCGTTTTCAGATGTCAATATCCTTTGTTCGGAATGTAATTAAGAAATGGCAGTCATCAGGAACAGTGGAAGTTAAAGCAAGATCTGGAAGACCAAGAAAAATATCAGACAGAACAGCTCGCAGGATTGTGAGAAAAACAATTCAAAACCCACGTTTGACTGCACGATCCCTCCAGAAAGATCTGGCAGACACTGGAGTTGTGGTACACTATTCCACTATAAAGAGATACTTGTACAAATATGGTCTTCATGGAAGAGTCATCAGAAGAAAACCTCTTCTACGTCCTCACCACAAAAATAATCGTTTGAACTTTGCAAATGAACATATAGACAAGCCTGATGCATTTTGAAAACAAGTTCTGTGGACCGATGAGGTTAAAATTGAACTTTTTGGCCGGAATGAGCAAAGGTACGTTTGGAGAAGAAGGGGCACAGAATTTAATGAAAAGAACCTCTGTCCAACTGTTAAGCATGGGGTTGGATCAATCATGCTTTGGGGTTGTGTTGCAGTCAGTGGCACAGGGAACATCTCACGAGTAGAAGGAAAAATGGATTCAATAAAATTTCAGCAAATTTTGGATGGTAACTTGATGCCATCTGTGAAAAAGCTGAAGTTAAAGAGAGGATGGCTTCTACAAATGGATAATCATCCTAAACACACCTTGAAATCCACGGGGGATTACATCAAGAGGCATAAACTGAAGGTTTTGCCATGGCCTTCACAATCTCCTGACCTCAACATAATTGAAAATCTATGGATATACCTTAAAAGAGCAGTGCGTGACAGACAGCCCAGAAATCTCAAAGAACTGGAAGACTTTTGTAAGGAAGAATGGGCAAAGATACCTCAAACAAGAATTGAAAGACTCTTGGCTGGCTACAAAAAGCGTTTACAAGCTGTGATACTTGCCAAAGGGGGCAGTACAGGATATTAACTCTGCAGGGTGCCCAAACTTTTGCAGACGCCATTTTTTTGTTTTCTGTTATTTTGAAAGTGTAAATGATGGAAATAAAATCTAACTTTTGTTGACATATTATAAGAATGTCTAATCTGTAATTTGATGCCTTTTGGAGATTTTTCCATCTTTCCTTGGCTTCTTTATGCACATTAATACAAATTTTTAGCTGGGGTGCCCAAACTTTCGATCCCCACTGTATATGTGTAAAGTGCTGCGTAAATTGTATATAAGTACCCTCTGAAACCTAAATAAATAAAATAAATAATTATTCTGTTTTGCTTTCCTTGTTCCTCCTTTTCTTCTCTTCAACATGCTAATGAAATTTGTAGATAAAACATTTCTGTTTTAATTACATACCTTTATTTAAGATTCTGTGATGTCATCACTGTGCTCCTCTGTTCAATGCAGGCACAGGGGCGGCCAGACAACTCATGGGGCCCCCGGGCAATAGGGGATCATGGGGCCCCTGTGTCCTTGCCCAAACTCAAAAAAGCCTATGAAAAAAGTACCAGGGGCATCTCATGGGGCCCCCTACTGACCCCGGGCCCTCGGGCAGTGCCCAAGTTTCCAAATGGTCAGTCCGCCCCTGTGCAGGCAGATCATGGCTGGTGGGGTTGGCAGGGTGCTATACATAGCTTCCCAAAAACATCACAGCACCCTGCCTCAGTACTCCTCTTAAAGCGATATTAAACTGCAAACCGAAAAAAAATTTCAGCTTACCAATCATTAGATGTGGTGGCTGCATCAGTTTTCTCTTTGGCTTTTCCCCTCTGTTTTCACCTGGTGATCTGGCCAGTAACACACCTCCTATATTAGTGAGATACAACTCTGGAGGAATGAGCATAGGAGGCACAGCAGACAACAGTATTGTTGTCTGCTGTGCTGGGGAAGGGTACTGTTAAATGTATTAGCAGATTTAGAACCACTAACAAGTTGAAGCCAAACTCCAGCTCACACTTAATAATCAGTTACGGCAAACACTTTTTTCCTTTTGGGGTAAAGCTTTTACATGAATGAATAAAGGCTGCTAATTTTATTTGCCCCTGCCAGTGTTAAAGTGTTACTAAACCCAGGACCCTGCATTCACTATATCTGGTCTCCCCGGACCCTGCAGTCACTATATCTGGTCTCCCCGGACCCTGCAGTCACTATATCTGGTCTCCCCGGACCCTGCAGTCACTATATCTGGTCCCCCACAGTACACAGAACATGGAAATGCAATTATTTTAGTAAATATAAAGTGCTAAATACCTTTTCTCATCAGCAGTATATAGCAGTCTTGTGACTTCTATCAGTGTCCAGCGAGCACTGGTAAAGCTTGCAGGAGGAGTTTTCATTCTCCCCTGATTGTCCTATGAGGCTGCATGACCCCTGACCCTCTGTCTGGACAGCACTGATTGGCCCTGTGCTGATCACATGCACTCTCACAATAAAAAAAAAATCTCTATAGCAATACACACTAAACAGAACATGTGCAGAATGACTCCTAGAGCTCTGCAGATGGATTGGGAACAGTAGAAGGGGAGGATCAGAAAGACAGGATCAAACAGCGGTTTTACACAATGCGGAGGATTAACCCCTTAGGTTCCACAGTGAGTATAACAAGCATGCTTTACTGCATATACAGACTGATTTTACTGTGGTGGGTTTAGTAACATTTTAAGTGGTTTGTCCCACCCATGTAAACTGATACATTCTGCTGGGAGTTTGTGCTGTGAAAAACAACAGATTTGCTGGCTGTATCACCAGATGAAAATGAAAGAAGCCTAAAAAGGAAACTAATGCAGCCATCACATCTAAAGTATTGGTAAACTGCAATATAATAAATGTCTGCTTTTGTGTTTAATACTGCTTTAAGAGCCCTGAGCCCTAATACAACCAATGGGCTGGCTCTTGGGAGGAGTTATACAAATATCAAAATGCCTTGATGGGTGGATGTCAGTTTGCAGGCGTGGGTGTTCCTAGGTAAATGTGCATACAAGCTGTCCTAGGTAACACCCACATGTGATGCTGAGCCTCCATGATTGAAAGAAGTGAAATCCAATAAATGAAAAAGGCAGGCTGGGGACAATCTAATTTCGGAGAAAAGAGCTAAATGATGATGGATGTCCTTTAGCCAGAAAGAAGGTGGGCTCTATCTGATTTGCTGCAGCTTGATATAAATTGTAAGAAGCTCACAGTGTGAAGTGAGATCAGTGTAAGTAATTTCAGTCCAGGAGAGGAGCCGGTAAAAATGTGCAAGACTGAAGGGAAGGCTGGAGTTCAGCTTAACGTGAACCTGTGTTTTTCTTGTTCATTTAAAGGCGGCCCCCACAGAAGCTTTCTGACCCACCGCTCTGTTTTCCAATGGGAACAAAGAAAATAAATTCTGTGTAAACTTGATCCTGATCAGATATTATACAGAGCTGAGTATTGTCTCCCCAACTGCAGGTGATGATAAAATGGTCATAAACCAGGTACCAGCACTGCCCTGTGGAAGGTAGAAGCATTAAGCCAGCCATACATGATGCAATTTTCTTTCCTGCAAAAAAATGAAAAATCCAGCAGGCTGGTTGTACCCAAGTCGTACAACAGTCAAATTGGGTACAATCATCCTGCCCATAGATTGCCTGGTCCCTGCTGAACTGGCCGAGATTCGATCCATCTGTGGCTGGCCTAAGTCCTATGCTCCTTCACACTTGGAAATAACAAGAGTATGTGTTGCTGTAGGACCAGCATTATTGTCAACTTGCTGGACAAACCAAAACACCAGACTCTTCTGATTCCAATCTGGTGTGATGACACACCCCCAAGGAGGGTGGTCATGACAGGCTGGAGTCAGAGGAACACTGGCAACATATTGTGTTGAAGAGGATCTGCTCCAGAGTGCAGCTGATTGGAGGTGAGTATAAGCTCTTTTCTCTTTTAAAGAGCGGTGGGCTGTGTATTGGAAAATTTATTTGTATTTATAAAGACAGTTTCTTGGCTGGATAAAGCCTTTTTTTTGCTGCCATTTTCCCAACATCCTGAATCCCATTCTGTGGGGGAAAATCAGGATTCAGTAACACTTTGTAGATCAAAGAGATCAAGACAATCAACCACCAGGTAGATTAACCATTCTCAACCAGAGTTCAGTGGAATCCTAGGGTTCCTACGAAAGTTGATATCAGTTCCTCGAGCTGTTGATTGACCCCCCATTTAATGGTGCCTGCATAATTCTGAGCCAACACCACTTGGCAGAGCAAGCAGCATGACACTAATGATCTTTTTAGCTGCCTATAAGGGGTTCCTAAAATGCAGGATGCCCGGCATTTGTTCCCTTTTGCATGCTGCACTAAACTTAAGTACAGCTAGGTGCACCATCCAGCCTTGTCCAGCCGCAGCAGCTGTCAGCCTCTTAAAGCCTTTGATAGGCTGCCAGTAGTGGGGCAGGGCTGTGCACCCGAGCCCTTCGCCTGTGGCTAAACACTGGGTCTTAATGCCCAACGTGCATGGGTCTAAAGGGGCATTCTTCACTCTGACCACCAGTATAGTGGGCATTTTTTCATTGACCTTTGATGAATGGGTTTATATGTAGGTTGCTTGAGACCTGATAATTACTGTAGCGGATCCCTGGGGATAAAAGCCTGGTTTAGATTGCTTAGTGGTTTCAATGGAATTGGTAAACAATATGTTTTGATTTATCGTCATTTTGCAATGGTAAACCAGTTGGAACACATACCAAATTTGTGTATGTCCAGTGTACGAAGAGAGCAACGAGAACATTGAGCTGTTGCCTACAACAGCCTTCCAAAGGCTGACCATTTCTCTCTCCTAGTACAGGTTAGAGCATAAAAAAGCTACCTGGTCCATACCAGCTCTCCCTGGATTATTCCTCTTTTAATAAATCACCCCAGGAATCATCATAGCGGGGGTCACTCGGCGGCAAAACAGGCAAGCAGCAAAATGAACTCTGTAAGCTTCATACGTCTGATTTCATTCCGGCATTTTGTGGCAACGCTGAGAGCTGAGAAGACAATCAAGGGGAGGTTTAAGATTATCATTACTATTATTATTACTACATGACCTGTTTTACAAGGACACCATAAGTCATGCCTGAAATAATTTCTGCAATTTCCCATGGTTTAACACCTACCAGACCTTCTTTGATGTTGGCCTGTTGCTCAGTGAACGTCTAAAAATAATACTGCAGTGAATGCGAAGGACGGGTAGTCTGGGAACTATTAAACCATGTTTTGTGGTTATGTTTTTTTTTTCTGTGAAATTCTATAGACAATCACTACAAAGTACCATGTTTGGAAAGTGCAGAATACTGAATCTTTGGTGTGCAGAGGCTAATGAAGTAATACTGCAAGGTGGAGTGGAAATTGTATGCTGTAATTAAAGCTGAACTCCAGGCAGATATAAAAGACACACATTATTGTAGCTCTGTATTCATATATTTGTGTAATACACTTGATAAAACATTTTTTTTAATACAATCAGTGTAAAAACCTGAATTTAAAGTAATATTAGCTTCTGGCAATCCCCTTTACAGCAAAGCTCAGACCAGGAGAGGGAGAAGCACCACAATAAGCCTGTCCTTTGTATTGTAGTGTTTGTGCAGCAATAGGGATGCTGATAGGAGAGAGGAGAGTGATGGAGAGATGAGCATATTTGTCTGCTGTCCATCACAGGTTGAGGAGAAACCAGATCTGTAGATGTTATTTAGCAGCAATAGACAAAACTCAGGTCCCCTGTCCTGCTAGACCAGTGGTTCTCAAGCTTCCTAATGCTGTGACCCTTTAATACAGTTCCTCATGTTGTGGTGTCCCCCAACCATAAAATTATTTACCCAGTAATTATAATTCATGAAGTGTCGTTTTACCTCCAATACTGCTGCTTTCAGCACAATAGCTGCTTTTAACAGAGTAGCTGCTTTTAACAGAGTAGCTGCTTTCAGCACAATAGCTGCTTTTAACAGAGTAGCTGCTTTTAACAGAGTAGCTGCTTTCTACACAGTAGCTGCTTTCTACACAGTAGCTGCTCTTTACACATCAGAACTATGTTTTCCGATGGTCTTAGGCGACCCCTGTGAAAGGGTCGTTCGACCCCCAAAGGGGTCGCGACCCACAGGTTGAGAACCACTGTGCTAGACAGAGCTATGCTATATGGCAGAGCCATGCAAATATGAGGACTGGATGGACCGAAACACAAATCATTTGGTAGGTCAAACAGCTCCTATATATGTATTTCATCTGCTTATTTACCTGTTTGACTGGAGTTCAACTTTATTATGAATGCTACCTGTGTAGCTTATGTTCTGCTACATGGTGACTCCTCTGGTTTTGTCTTTTTTTTTTTCTTCATTGTGGCTGTGTGTCTTGTGGTTACCTTTAATCATTTCGGTGATAAATAAGGTCGTGGTGACACATATTCACCGATAGGTGTGTGTAGGGGGTTTCACATGATATTTATCTTTTAGGATGGCATTTTTACTTTCATCATCCTCCAGTTCTCACCAGTTAGCCTTTTCCCCCAGTTGCTTTTCTCATATTTTCCTTTCGGTATGGTAAGACATGGGAGGTAAACTCATGGGCTTCTGAAACATTCTCAGGAACTTATTGGTAGTTAAAAGATATATGTGCTAGTTATTGGCCTTGATCCACTACACACGCAGCATTTATGGAGCCTTAAAGTGCACTTAAGGCATGCTAAAGTGGCCTCTCAGTCAGTATTCTCATATGTCATTTTAGCAAGCTTTAAAGTGGAACTTCACTTTCTTTATCATTATTGACTATTTTAAATGATTATGCTGCTAGCATTAGTAAATAGATAGGAAAATATATATTTACTTGGTTTAAACAGGTTTTTTTTCCTTTTTTTAAGTTGCTTCCTAGTTTCCAGGTCTAGGCAAATTATGCCATACATCCCAGGAGTCTTCAGGAGGGGAGGAGGGGTTGTATCAGCTAACCACAGGGAAATTCCTGTTGTGTTTTGCAGAGCCAGAGTGGGGAGGAGGAGAGAAGGTCAGAATCTCAGTTGCTACAATGTATGGCATTGTTGGAGATGCCAGGACTATGCCTTAGGGTGAGGTCGTAGAGAACCAGGTATAGTGGACCCATAGGAGTGGAGTACTGCCATACAGCATAAATATGTTGTGGGAATGATCCCTTTATGCGCTTTTGGCTTTTCATTAAATTGAGAGCCCAACAGTTCTGATAAGGGCTCACTCACCTG